ATGAAGTTTTCTAATCGTTTACATGGCATAGACTGCAAATGCCCGAAACAGCAGATAGCAGTGAACCCTATATATACAACATACGAGGAGGTGGGACAAAGACCACAAGGCCTGTCCCTTTGTATGTAGGGCTTTAGTAAACCGTGGACAACTGAAACTGCAGATACAGTACGGATCCTACTGTACTGTTGCGGGCTATCTTTTTTCCAATGCAAAGTATTTGGGGGCCACATACTTTTTAATGGACAATCAAGAGCTACTAACTTTACAAGAGACCTGCTTTTTATTGGTCAATAAAATGGAATGATCCAGCTGCCTACATTTTGGACTCTACTTACACAGGTTCTAGCTGTGGGGACTGTCATGACAAGCTCCTGCATTTCCAAATTTAGCCCTCTCCCACTTGGACGCACACAGATGCTGTCCCAACTCTTCCTCCTCCTCACTGATGCTCACCACAAACATGTGCTTAACTTCTAGACGGGCACAGAGGTACCTTCTTACTCACATCCCACAGTGATTAAAGTCCTATATACCGTACTTTCAGCCTTATTCCCTGAACAGGGGTTGTGTTGAGCCCACACTTTTCTTCTAGTTCTCACTGAGAAAGTAAGCCCCCATCAAGTCTGCACAAGTCTGTTAGCTCGCGTAATAGCATGCATGCTACTCTGTAGGAGCCAAGGAGACTCCTGCACACAAAACTGCCACAAGCAGAGAGAAGGCTAGGAAATATGCTTCCATCTTGGTATCTAGATTCCCACATACAGTATAAGGATCTGTTTGTATGGGGAAGCATTTAATCAGGGGAAGGGGGGCAGTAACACAGTCTTAAATGACACTGCCTACAGTAAATCCAGGATTACCACCTCAATGAAGACTACACTGAAGATCCTGGCTTATACAAAGGAACCTCATGAGCCATCAAAGCTGAGCAGACACAAAGCACATGTTTGGATGAGGCTTGTGCCCACTTTGTAAGGTGTAGTCCTCCCTGAGGAAGCAAATGAACCCCGAGTACACTTAAAATTGCAGGCTAGGTACCTTCACATGATCAAATGCTCCCCATACGCATACAGACTCTTTCCGGATGTGTAGAGAAAGACATGGGACCACGTCAACATGGCTCATGCCAATTAATCTGCTTGCCTGCTACCCCCATTCCCCCACAATCTATGAATGTTCTGAATGGGTAAAAACCTATACTTACAGAGATCATAATTATATCATCCTCCCCCAAAAAAGCTTCATGGTCCTGCTTTAGAATCAGATTCCTTGATGCTGAGGAGAGGTTTAGTAGCAACTACACATGCAGCAAGAGGAAATAACAGCCAGAACCAAATACTTCCAACTACTGTATTAGTAAAGTGGCCAATTGATGAAAGCTCTCCTATACTATGACACTCTGAAATACATAAGAGCCTTGAGCTCACAGAAGAACAGCTAGGATATGAATGTGCCCTAAAAATACCTAAAGGACCATGTATTTCCCCACATCTTTTTTGGATTGTTCCCTCCCCCGTGATACCTGCTTGAGGAAAAGTCCATAAATAGGAAAGGGGAACATACAGACTTTTATCTGTTATATTATCTATTAGTTACATTCATATCCTGGTTTCCCTTCCATGAGGCTCAAGAAACTGGACGTGGCTCTCATCCTCCCTGCCATGCCCCCATATTTTCTCAATAATCCTGTGTGGTAGGCCAGCCAAATGGCCCAGGGTCACCCTGGGGGTTTTGTGGCTCTTGAGAGTCCCCTGGACTGCAAGGAGAACAAACCTATCCATTCTAAAGGAAATCAACCCTGAGTGCTCACTGGAAGGGCAGATCCTGAAGCTGAGGCTCCAGTACTTTGGCCATCTCATGAGAAGAGAAGACTCCCTGGAAAAGACCTTGATGTTAGGAAAGTGTGAAGGCAAGAGGAGAAGGGGGACGACAGAGGATGAGATGGTTGGAAAGTGTCATCAAAGCGACCAACATGAATCTGACCCAACTCCGGGAGGCAGTGGAAGATAGGAGGGCCTGGCCTGCTCTGGTCCATGGGGTCAGGAAGAGTCGGACACGACTAAACGAACGAACGAGAAGCTAGAATCTGGACCTCACAGAGCTCTTGAACCACAACACCCCCATTCACTTCCCACCAGAGGTCGCTGGACGCCATCTCTCCCCTCAGGCCTCTCAACGCAGCGAAAGGCTTGGGATCACAGTCACAGCACTGCAGTGCCGTGAAAGCAACACGCCCGGCCCATTTCCCGGTGGCCGGTCTCTCCCACATGCTGGTTTATGGCCGCCCCGGTGAGAAAACCCGGACCGCTCAACCGCAGGGTGTTCGGCATTTTAACTTTTTACAAGTCCTTATGCCGCCCACCCCCACCCCGGACCGGCCATTTTAGACGCTGTTGTCACGCATAAACAGCTCTGTCCTCAGGCCGAGAAGGGGCACGGCTGCGAAACCGGACCCTGAAATCACAGAGAGGAGACATAAAATGGAACTCCCACGATTAACACCAAGCCAGGCTGCTGCCAAGTTGCAGCTCCGGGAAGCAGGACCTCCCTTTGACGGGAAGCCGGGCAGAAAAGAGGACCAGGAGGATCCTGCCTGCTGCCCGCCATGCGGGGGATGGATGGAGACGGAAGGAGGGAAGGAAGGATCTCCACCGGGATCCCCAGCATCTACCAGCCCCTCTCGGACCGAGGCCTCTCGGCGGCCATTCACACGTTTCCTCCACGTGGTTTCGACGGCCTTTCGGGGCGCCCAGCCACGCCGCCCTCCTTC